TATTGCCTTTTTCTTGTTCAACACGGCTTGCCTATTTGATGCCCCCGAGAAGATTGTATTCCTTTCCTCTCACTCTAAAATATGGGGGGGGGGGGGCGGTTAAACACGAGATATATAACCCACTATCCATCCTGCACGCAGGTTGCTCAGACTTAAAAGCAGGCCAAGTAGCTCCTTGTCGATCTTCCGCCTGGGCCAGGCGGATTTTTATCGGAGTTCAAGTTTGCCTTGTCAGGTACCATCTTCCGCTTTGATCGCTGGCAAGCATAACTAGTTGCACGGGAGATCGGGACGGGCCCTGCGTTTAATTAATGGTTATTTATCCGCGCTTGCGTCGGGAAAGCAATTGTATTATTATATTATATGGCATAGCTAATAACTAACTAGGTGACTTAACGGCCCTTCCTGAGGGTTACTAGTAAGATAGCTGTGATAACTAGAAGTACACTACCGTTATCGAGCTGAATGCCTGCATGAACCAAGCCTAGCCGGTTTGTGATTCGAAAGGCGATTTGTGTAACAGCTTGACCCTGGCAGAGGTTATATGCCTTGCGCTCGACCTGCGACTGGCAGTGCTGTATGACAGGCTGCGTGGCCTCCTGCATTGCATGAGTGGCTCGTGGCGACGTTTTCCTGCATTTAAATCTCTCTCTACGTTAGTTATCAGCGTACGGAGCTCGATGCTGGGTCACCCAGCCATGCAGCTGGGGGGCAGAGTTCATGCATAGAGGGATTTCGACGCCTGCTATGGTGCATTTAGGTACATAGTGATTGTATGTAGGGCGCACGCACGCCACAGGGAGCAGAAGGCTGGCTGACGGCGGTGAAGTTGAGAGATATGTAGTGACAGGGGAACCAGGGCCAGGGTCTACGAGACGAGAGATAACAAGTTGTTTGTCGTATACTGTGGACTGAGGATGTTGAAAAGTTAGATTGATTTGTGTATTAACTAGCTAGGTAACTAAAGGACTGCCTTCTTCGCGAGATATATGTTTCTTTCTTCGCCTTTACCGTCAACTCCAGAA